ATGGATGGGCACATGTGGTTCTGCCAGCCCCTGTGCCTAATTTTATCCCTGGAAGGGCTCGAAGGACATTTCCCAGGCTTTCCTCGAAATAACTGTTCAGCATCCCCGTAGTGGCAGCCCTCTGGGGCTTCTCCAAGACCTCCCACAAGAGGGGCTTTCTCTGCTCCCCAGGAGAAAGGGGAGGGCTCCTTCCACAGGGGCTGGCAGGAGCTGCCTGTCCCACCACAGGCAAATGTGTCCGATGCACACGCGGCATCCCGCCGGCTGGGGAAGGCAGGAGCTCCGGGTAATGCTGCCATAAAGCTGAGCGGGCTATAAAAAGTGTTGTAGGAAATTCTGGCCCCATGTTTCAGAACTGGAGAATGATGTGGTGCTGCCCTGGGGGTGCTGAGCCCAGACCCCCACACGTGGACAGCAAAAGCGGAGCTCTGTTTTGCAGCTCTGCTGCTGGGAGCCCAGCTGAGCAACATCCTCCTGCCTGCAGCTGCCCAGCACGGGTCAGGGGATGGGCTTAGCACGGTGCCAGCAGCAGCAGACAGCCAGGCTCCCTGGCAGAGGGCTCGGGGGGGAGCAGGACGGGCTCTGGGCAGGGCTGGGGGCTCCCCACACTCACCTGGTGAAACTGCACGACGATATCAGAGAGCTGTATTCTGTCCAGCAGAGGCAGAGGGAAACCTTGACCTAACCTGTCTGGAAAAGACAACACACGTGGCCACATTGGGATGAGAATCAATGGGACCAAGAGAGAGCACGGGCTGTGCAAAGCACACGGCCATCTCCTCCTCCCAACCCTTTCTTTGCCCGCACCGCTCCAGGGGCAGGCAGAGGAAATTCCTCCCAAGCTCCATACAAGGGCTGGGGGCTGCATGTTGGGACGTGCCACCCCCCCGCGCCCCTGGCAGCCACCAGCCCTGCTCTGGCCCCATGTGCTGGGGAGTTGTGAGAAGCAGGGAGTGGGGGAGAGGGTCTGGAAAGCATTAGGATGTGCGTCGTGCTCATTTTTTTCCATTGCGTTCACTGCTGCCCGGGCCTCCCGCCGAGTGAGAACGGCGGCACCACACACCTCTCCCGGCCCCGGGAGCCGAGTCCGGCGGCGGCTGGGCCCGCGTCTCCCCGGCGGCGGCCCCTCTGAGG